AATTATGCAGTTTACAAGATTATACCTGACGCAGAATGAAATTAAATTTTTTGCTCCCTTGCTGTCTTTCTTTCTTCTTCTATTTCTGTTATGTCTATTTGCTAATTATATTTAACATGAGAAGTATAAACTAAAGAGAAGTATAAAAATATTCTGTTGAATCTATTTCTTCTTTTTTCTTCTTTGTTCGTAATAAACCATTTTATATTGTTATCATATATTTTTTCTAAACATCTAATATTTTTAGCGCTTTAATTTAATAGATATTATTGTTTTGATGTTAAAAATGAGATAGTTCTTAATTTCTTCACTTTTAAGAATATAAAAAAATCTAAAGAAATTAAGTGATGTATTTTAAATATCTACGAGTTAAATGATGATAAATTTGATGAAACAAATCTATTATTAACAAGATAAAATTTCGATTATAGATAAAATAAAATTATCGATGCTACAACAATTTAATAAAATATTGTATCAAAATGATGAAGATCATTAACTTTACTTTCTTGAAAATATTAATAAGCAATACAAAGAAAGGCAAAAGAAAATGCTATAATGTAGATTAGAAAATTATCACGATAATTTAGAAAATAAATGTGAACGCAGCCTAATAAATCGCGCAATAAGGAATGGAGCAACCAGACAGGAACCTCGGTTGAGCGAAGCAATGTCAGTCGAGAAGTGGCAAGCGTTTAGGCGAATGTAATGTCTCTCTAGTCGTTTTCATACTTAGACAGTTAGTAGTCTTCGTGTAACGTCCTATACGCGTGGCCGTATCGCTGTGTTCGGGAGCAAATCTCATTATAGATAGACCAGTCCAACTCGGATTCTAGTCCAACCTAGTCTAACGAAACGAAACTAATAAACAGCTAGTGTGGGTGCAGTTTTAAAACGTTGTGCTAAGGGATGGCAGGATTGCTGTTGCCTATCGAGAGCTGTGAGTTCACATTTTTCATCTGTTCATCCACAATAAACTGGAGACCGGGTGAATTTTAAATAATTTTTAAATTATGGAGAGAGGGGAAGGGGACGTGCGAAAATGAATGTGTCACATTGTCACATTCATTGATGGATATATTTTTAACTCCCTGATGGATAAACAATTCTCGTACTCCGCATGAATACGTTGCGCTACAAATGATTTTCGGACTTTTTGCTTCATGATGTAATCAATTTTCCGCTGAATTAAGATTTATATTTCTAATTTAATATAATCGTTTGCATTATATGAATTGTTAGATATAGGCAATTTTTAATTCGTTTGTAAAAGTATAAATGTTTAGAAATATTTGTAATGTGTTCGACAAACAATTTTGATATGTATATTGCAATGAAAGGATTCATATTTCTTCTTTATTATTTCGTAATAAGTAGCGCATAAAATTTCACATTAATTTCTTGATGATAGGTATTTGTCATACATGTGGTGAGAAAGTGACCGGTGCCGGACAAGCTTGTCAAGCAATGGGTAATCTCTATCATACCAATTGCTTCATATGCTGTTCCTGCGGAAGGGCTCTCCGTGGTAAAGCTTTCTACAACGTTCATGGCAGGGTTTACTGTGAAGAGGATTACTTGGTATGTGAGCTATTTTAATGTTGATGACGGAAATAACAGTTATTGAAATCACACTTAATTCACATATACTCATATAAATTGTTGGGTTCGCAGTATTCTGGTTTCCAACAGACGGCCGAGAAGTGCGCGATTTGCGGCCATCTTATCATGGAAATGGTAAGCGATGAGAGTCAATCATTATCATCCGTTAGATTTCTATTGTAATTCAGTATAACGTCACCTTTTGCTTTCCGCAGATACTGCAAGCTATGGGCAAATCATATCATCCGGGCTGCTTCAGGTGTTGCGTGTGCAACGAATGTCTCGATGGCGTTCCCTTTACGGTCGATGTTGACAATAAGATCTATTGTGTAAACGATTACCACAGAATGTTCGCACCTAAGTGTGCATCTTGTGGAAAGGGAATCACGCCGGTTGAGGTATGCGCGTTGGAAATTAACTCGCTTACGTCATTAAGGCGCATGGCAGGCGTTCCCGATAAAATCTCTTTTTACGAGTTGTGTTCTTTTCTATTTTAGGGAACTGAGGAAACGGTTAGGGTAGTCTCGATGGACAAAGACTTTCATGTGGACTGCTACGTTTGTGAGGATTGTGGCATGCAGTTGACCGATGAGCCGGATAAACGGTGCTACCCACTTGATGGCAGACTTATGTGTCGTGCGTGTCACATCCAACGCATATCGCATATGCAACCGAGGGCACCGCAACCGGTGTCTGCTAGCTATCAGTTTATGGGCTAAGTGTACTGACAAGCATCTGTCGGAGCTTTTCGAATTGCGCACGTAACACTAATCCGATAAAGAATACTAAAATCAATTAAATAAAACAAAGGAATCAATGTTAATATTCCTGAATGTTATAGGATCAGGACATACATACATATATATATATCGTAATACATATTAGGGCCTAGTTTTGAAAATAGACTTTCTCGAGAAAATTGATTAACAGAAAAAAAACGACAATGTGTGATATCAATTAATATTTTAATTGAGATAAGAGCTTTCAACTCTAATCTTTAGACCATTAAAAACAGCTAAGATATTAAAACTTTTTGCAAGACTGGTATGATCTATTTACTATTATATCGTTTTAATTATAAATTTTCTCGATTACTGTCAGACAATCAAAATCTATCGACAACAGATTCTAGAGAATGGCAAAAAAATTTGTAGGATCTAGTAAAAATCATGTCAAAATTTGTTAAAAGCAGATTAATGATAAAAAATCAAGCTGACTGGTGAATATTTATACAGTACATTCTTATTTTCATTGTAAATCAAGATATCATAAATCAAATTTATCCCAGAGAAATGATTCATCAAATTGATATCGAGTCGACATCAATACAAATATAATATCGACAATACGATGTCAATTATACGATGTGTCGATTCGATAATCTTGTTGAGTTAACATCTTAAAAATATTAACATCTTAAAAATATTGAATATCTTGAAATAAAAACGAACTATATACGAAACTGACCTTTGACATATTTGTTACATAATTTGTCACGGATCGGTAGAAATAGAACTGTATAAAAGACATTCGCAACAAATACAATTATCCATGAATCTGTCTTTAAACATTTATTCATAATGTTAGTGAAAACTGATCGGTTCAATCACGTTTTACATTACTTATTATAGGATTCTTGCTATTATAGTTGTCACTGTTAATCTATCACGGCGCGTATGTGCTAATATATTGAGGTAGCAAGCCGTTATTTTGATATCGATAGTTAGTCATTTTAAATTATTGACGTCTATTATTCATGTGACCTATTTAAGATGTAATAATGACATCATTTATTTATAACGTCTTTACAATGTTTTTCATACTTAACGACGTCGAATAAATGATCAATTGTCGACGTACTAGTAACATAATTATATAGTAATCAATTAATAACTTCTTACATTTATTCTGTTAATAACGCGAAAATAATGATATATATATTTTTTATGTCATTGACAGTTTATGACATTGTGCGAGTGATAAGAAATATAAGAATTTACGTCGTTTTTACGATGTTTAGACATCAAGAAATTTATTATTTTTAAAATAAAATAAAAATCACAAAAATAATTGAATTTATTAGAATTTATTAGAATATTTAACCTAGCAAATTTGTTCATTTTTATAATTTTCACTTCGTCGCAGGAACGTATAGATTCGTCATAAGAATAATTAATGACGTCAAATGAATGACATCTTGCAACCGTCAATAACGAAAAAAATGATATTTTGATGTCGACTTATGACATTGTGTACCTATGGCAAATCTACGTCATTTTTACGATGTTTGGACATCACTTTAAACGTCACATTCGTCATAAGAATGACTAATTAATGTTAAATAAACATCTTGCTTGCTATCTAAGTAATTATCAATACTTCTTATGAAAAGCAAATTATCGAATCAATACATGTCGATAGACTGTTAATTAATGTACGATAAAAATATTTAATCTGTCGCGTCCTGGGAACATTTGTTGTAGGAAAAAAATGTGATTTTAATTATTCCGATTTTTAAACAAAATAAATAAAACTACTTTCAATTAGGAAATTGCAATATTATATTGTCTTCTGGGATCAATTTGACATGTCAGTACACGTAGCATACGATTATGAGTACAAGTTCTTTTTAATCGAAGATAATTTAGAATCTAGATAAGTGGTACATTTAATATATGCGACTCTTATTTATTATATTTAGTAAAAATACTATTCTGCGAATGCAATGGTTTCATTAGAACGACTAGTTGCGCAGGCAACTGTGATATAGTAGCATAATAATTCTGTTTTTTAAACAGAAACTTCATACTTTTTAACATGTATATATAACTTTTTTTAATGTTTATTGTAATATTATACAAATTTATGATGGAAATATTAATCCCAGGAACATTCCTGCAAATTTCCTCTATCAAGTTTCATTGTACTTCATATAGCATTCATTGACAGTATTTATTAAGTCAGATATAGCGATTCGCTGCGAGTACTCGTAATATTGAAGTTCGTCGGGATATACTTCGTAGTCTTTAATGACTACAAAGAATAGAATCGAGACTGGAAAAATATGTAAGCGTGCTATAACGATCAATATACGACAATATTATAGCATTGAAAGACGCACAACTCGAGCTGCCAAATAACTATTGTTATTCTTCAGGTCTAAATGTAATTGTTATATACAATTTTAAATTCGCGCGCATATTGTAGATAACTAGTATAATCTTATTTAAATTGCATATGTATAAATGATTATCCTTCAATAAAGACAAACTGTAGTAAATGCATTTTTTATTCGATATTTTGCATCGATTCATTGTATTCTTTGATATATTATACTTCGACTGCACGAGGAATGATGAACGGGATAAATAATGAAGGAATATTTAATGCAGGAAATGATTTACAATGATGCAATATATATTTATAACAGAAATATACAACAAATCCCCGAGCTACGTCCAGCTCAGTCCGACCAGTAGGTCCGACATAATGCGGCAGTAATATTTATGGTTTTGGCGATTCCGAGTGTTGGTCCGTTTTATATTCTGCCTTGAATTTTTTCTTGTGTTCTGCTGCACATTTATTTGACTGTACTGGCTACAACACGATTAAAGGCGATTACGAAAAGTATACATGTCGCCGTAAGAACGAGAAACAAAATCTATTAAATACTACTCTTTACGCGATAAGAGCACCTCGCCAAAAACAAAAGCAAGAGAGATCAGTACGATATACTTGAGATTAATCGTGAGCGGTAACCTACTCATAGCTTTGCCCGCAGGCTGCACCATGTGTGCATGTAAAAAGAAAACAGACAAGATATTTCAAATACAAACACAGATATAATTATATATTAAATAGTTTATTTCTTCAATTTCAAAAAATGACATTGCATTTCAGATACATTACTCACCTCTACTGATTGAAGCTTGAATGATAATGCCTTCACGTAGCCTAATTTGCTCAAATATCGAATAGCCATTGTCGTTCCTCCTGTTATATTTTAGTATTAATATTTAAGATATAATGCGCAAATTATCTATTACACACATAAAATATTAAAATTACAAACCAACAGTAATAGTATATCTGATTGGGGTAAATATCTTATAAAGAGCATAAGTAATGGCCAAGTCACCAGCACTTGAATTACGCACTAAATCTATGTATTTCTCGCTAAAATTCATATATTCCAACAACTGGACTATATCCACACCACTAAAAATATATAATTTTTATGCTGATTAATTGCCAAACTCAAACAATAGTGATATGTTAATTCCATTAATACGTACTTCCTAACAGCAGTATAGAATATAGCTATCCATCCTATAGAAGTAATCACATGCACAGGTATTAACACATGCCAGTAATCTTTAGTCATTTGTTTCATTTTTTGAAATACTGTCAGTTTTTGTTCTGTTTGAGGTTTTTGGCAATTACCATCAGAACTTTGTTTAAGGTCCGAATAATATGCCAGGGTAATACCATTTTTGTTAATCTCTTGTTTCAATGATTTTTGATAAACAAATATATTATTTACAAGGCCTAAAGAATTATACGACGCGGCCTTATAACAATATCTTTCTGCAAGTGAAATATAAGCTTGATAATCCATATTGAATCTACTGAACTTCATCATGTTCATGTTTGAACACTTACTAGGAAATGCTGACTTCCAACGTGTATTGACACGACATGTGCAACATGCTGACAATGGAAGATATTTTGTTAACAATATTGAAGCATTACCTAATTCAACACTAAGTCTCAGTCCACGAGCGAAAAATACATCCATGTTCGAAAAACGCCGCTCCTTTTCCTAACCAAAAATTATAATAACCTTATACCCTTCGCGAAATGCATGTGTGATAAGAATTCGACAAATATGAGTATTGAAAACTTATGAGAGTTTTACAATTGTGCTCGTTTACGATTTTGATTGTAATATTCAAATGATTACAGTCACCACAAAACTTCCATACCTTGACATATCATATCACACCACACTCTACATTGAACAATGAACTCGATTCTCGAATGATGAAACCAGACGGCAGACTAGACGTCAATATTGTCAATATCAGTAGTGACATCTGTGGTTCAGAAATTGCTGTATAACCGTATAACTGAAATAACTGCATAAACCTACTGTAGTAAATAACAAATTTTGAATCAGACAAGATATTTCTTAAAGATTTTTGGATACCGAAAACGAAGTTTTGCGTGATGGTTGGTGAAATAAATTGCCTTTCTTCTCAAGAAGCAATTTTTTAATGTTCTTAATTAGATGATGACATATTTTAATAATTGTATCTTTTTAGATAAGATATAATTTCGAAAAATATTGTTTCAACAATTTATTCTATTATTAACTGTTAATAAATTCCTAATTAATTGTTACTCTTTCTAAAAATATAATCTTTTTAAAACACATTTCCTCTGATTAAATACTTTTTATCACTTTTTATCACACTCACGATTCAATCGGTTCAATTTTTGCGAATTTTTCCAATGAAATTTTTGTTAATCATACGAGTTAATTGAAAAGAAATGTATTATTTTTTTTATTTTTTATTTATATTTATCTTTGTCTGACTTCGAAATATAAATTTCACACATTTTGAGCTGAACAATACGCATTCAGTTCAGAGATATAGCATGACGAAATTGCTGAGTTCCGCAGACCCTGGTGTGGCCAAAAAGATAGCAAAAAATAACATTGGCAAGCTAGAGTTAAAAATCTAAAGGAAGATTACAGAAATTCTGAGGCTATTTTAGACATAAATTAAATAGCTGATTAGTATATAAATATTTGAATTTATCTGAATCCATGAAAAAGAATACAACGAAGTAAATAATAAATTGATATAATTACGTGCACGTTGAGCACGTAAATATTCACAAGAAAGAAGCAATCGGTGAACAGGTTGCATTCCAAATCCACCGAAGAAAGTGTTGTAACTTTTTAGCTAATGAGTATACATACATCTTACATATAATTTTTAAAAATTTCTGCCAAATTTAAAAAGCTAAAAGAGAAGGAAGTAGAAAAAGGGATACTATGTTCTAAGAAAAATAGATATCTATAAATAAAAATAGAAATAAAAAAAATTGGTGCAACAAAATATGTATATATTATCAATGAATAATATTAAAGATTATTGTTTTTTTTTTAGGAGTTAATGTAATTTAAAGTTCTTCTTGAAAAATATCGCAGTTAGAGTAAAAAAATAATAATTAAATTAAACAAAGATGATAAAAATATACCATATCTCATAAACATCAGAATCTTTTTACAAACTATTTTTTATAATACATACATAATTAGTTAAGCTAAAATAACTTCTTCCTTTCTATAATATATATAAAAAGATTTTATATATATAAAGATTTTAAATCACT